GAAAATCGCAGATTTTGGTCATAAATAGGGTAAGGGTTTTGGGAAGTGGGCCACACACCCCCACTAAATTCTTCTGGGAGTACTCCCCCCGGGTATTTTGCTCTGGTGTAATCTTGGTTTGAGTGTAGACACCCCGTGGTGAATCCTGGATGTTCGCCAGGAATTCAATAAATCTCTTCCAAGCAGAATAAAAACCTTCTCTTCTTCTTTCTCACACACACAAAAATCTTAACTGGACCAAAAACACCTTCAACGAGTTATAAATTTTACTAAACATCAAAGGCGCTAAAATTCCGTGCTGTGGTTTTCCGATATTTGACTAATTTTGTCAATAGTTTCAGAAAAAAACTCGGTTGTCGCACTTATTCAAATATAAATCGTCAACGCTTTTGACAATTTGGCTATTTCTTGACAACGACTCATTACTCTAATTGATAACCTGTGGGTATTTTCCACCAGCATTCCAAATGTGATGAAACTAGAACTGCGTTGAGAGAACAGGGCGAAACTGTAGTCTGCATGTCTCATCCAGTTAATTTGATATATACTAGGGTACCTAAATGATAGTAATGCTGCGGCACATTCTGTTGATAGTGACATATTTTACGCAGTGATTCATCTAGAACTTCATGAACGATGATGCATCGAGGGCGAGGTGTGACAAGGGATCGTGACAAAAAAGCAAAAAGTGATCTGAACTATGTTTGGACATCAAACGATACACATCAACCTAGCTCCGCTTTACCAGATCTCGAAAATCGAAAGATGTCGAAATTGTAGGAGAAAAAATCTAACTTATAAATTCTGTCTCTAGAATGTTGACAGACTGTGTCGAGGTCGCGTCCATCGCGATGTGTGAAAATGCTAAAGCTTCAGCTTAAATTTATGTTTGGAAGAAAAGGAATAGATCGCAGCATATATGAAATTAGCGTGTTCTACGGTTTTCGTTTGTTTTAATTATTCTACAAGCTTTAGTAACGATGATTTCTCTTCATTTAAGAATTCGACCAAGGAGGCGAGATTTCTAAGAAATGACATACTAAGATTAAAATTAAGTTGTCACAATTAATCAAACTTTCACATACTGCATTAAGAACAAAAGCAAGAGTTGTGAAAGTCAAGCACGATCTCCTTCACATC